TGTTTCATTTTCTAATGAAACTACCTCTTATTTATTTAGACCGTATTGGCACTTAATTATGTGGTTCTTTAGCGTTTTGCGCGATTGTAAAAAAAGAACTTTCGAAATTAAAGATTCCGCAAATAAACATTCTCGCGAAATTTTATACCCATATAATCCACATAGAAAATTCAAATCAAGGAAGAAAATAAAAAAAAACATGTAATAATAAAAACTCAGTGTACACGACATGATCATGAATCGATATATATATGAGGGTATCCCCAGCTCCAGGACATAAAATTTAGTTGTATGAATACACGAAGCTCTTACTCCGAATCCGACGCCCAGTCGCTAAGCGCTTGTTGCGCGTTTTATTATTTGGGCGTCGCCCAAATAGAGTAGTTGCAATAGGCACGCAATGCGTGCGAACGTAAACAAGCCAAGCGACGCGAATGTCTGCCACGCGATGTGTCACAATACAGCATTCATCCTCGTTACATTATGTCCCAGAGCTAACGCACGGCAAACACCGACGTGAAACAAACTATTAACTTCTTAAGCACATCGCTCGTTAATAATGCAATGTTTCAAAGGATTAAATGAATTTCACTATACAAATAAATTCGCAATAGATATCAGTATCGGCGCTTATTTATTGTTTCTTTAATCTTTAATCACAGTTCGTAACCATACATAACTGATACAAATGAACTAATACTAACATATACAATCGAACAAAAATACAAAAATGGTTAACAGGACGGTAGTTTTTAAGTATACCGAAAAAATCATATTTTTTATATGGAACTCAACGGATCACCGCGTGACTTTCCACGAGTTTTGCTAATTTACTGTATTAGAATGACAATCAACTAGTAATAACCAAAGGGTACTGAGTGCGGGCGACAACGATCGAAAGTCAAAACGCTTTTGCTCCAACGCAGTGCTTTGCGCAAGTTTCACGTAGAGATGGTCAAAACACGCGTGATCAGATAACGAGTGATAGAAGGTCCAATCGCGAGTGATCAAATCTCGTTCTGTGCATTCCATTAATTCTTAGTGGAAGTCCAAACGAATTCTATCTACATACATGCGACGCATGCTTAATAACAACCTCACTCTCAAACTGACTCATCTCCATTCTTCTCAATTACGTGAATGAAGCAGTCTCGCAAGATGAATAAGTTGAGAATGTGTGAGCGCTGTTGTCAGCTCTTGGCTCAAGCAAAGGGGTCATATAAACGCACGCTCAAGTTGACTTGGCTGGGAGGCCAGGCAGTGACCCTATTTCCCTGGACAACTTTTCTCCATAGAAACGGAAGAGGATAAAGTTAATTAGTAAAATCCAACTAGTGATCTATTATCAATGCTGCGTTCTGATTGGTTGAGCTACTACAAGGCTATACGTTACAGCCCAATAGTAGCGAAAAGCGCCGACTTTTTGGCGGAAAGAAAGGATTCAAGTTTAGCTTTAACTAGGTAAAGTTGGTTTGTCTCGATATTTTTGACCAACTACAGTAAAACCTCTATTAAGCAGACCCCCAATCAAGCGGACACCCTCTATTAAGCGGACACTAAGCCTGGTTCCGAAATTAACGTCTTATATTTCCCTTTATAAGGATCCCCTATTCAGCGGACACCTCTATTAAGCTGACGCGGACACTAAAATAAGTTGTATTTGGCTAATTTCTATTGTTAAAAACCTCTATTAAGCGGACAACGGACTAAATTGACAATAGTAGTATTGGATTACGTCCTTGAAATACGTACTGAAGTCAGTTAATGTTTTTGCATTTACAAAAAAAATTAAAGTTGGCAATGAAAGGTAATGAACTTGAACTCTGGATAGCTTCTCTAACAACATGCAACTTTATCAAAGTACAGAGTAACCGTTGAATGTTGATCATTAACAAACATTGCGCAAATTTTACAACCTCTATTAAGCGGACACTTGGGAAGGTCCCGAAGGTGTCCGCTTAAGAGAGGTTTCACTGTAGTTGAATTCTACTAAGACAATTATTCCTCTCGCCCTAATGGCCTATGAGTCAATAGCCCCTTCGGCCTCATGAGCTATTGACTCAGAGGCCATTCGGACTCGAGGAATAATTGTTAAAGGTCCGATAGAAAATGGGGTTCAGGGGTGCTGTGGTGCCGGTATAGCTTCAACCTACTGTCTACAGAAGTTTAGCTCTGTCAGTACTGACGAACCTTGCTTTCAAAAACATTCGCCCTATAAGTAATCGGCAATTTGTTTCTAAGTTAGTTGAACGAGCAGTTTCGAATCAGCTTCAGCCTCATTTGGTTAAGAATGATATCTTGCCTACGCTTCAGTCGGCATATCGTCCGAGCCAAACCGCCCGACTCAAAATTAAAAATGACATTTTAATCAACATGGACAAACAACACGCTACGCTTCTTATCCTTCTAGAAATGATCTACACTTGTAATTTCTTAGAACACAACATATATAGGTTCGCAATACATAAATGTATCTTCGTCAAACGATAGATATTTATACTAAACCACGTGTTTAGTCGTTCTTAATTATACTTAATATTCATCCAAACTAATAGATGGTTTTCACAGTGACGTCATCAAATTGTAAAGTCAAAATAGCGAGGTTTTACAAATTCGTATTTACACTAGGTTGAAGATAAACAAAAAGTAAACCTTTGTACAAGGTTCCATTCCCGTAGCATGTTTCAGTTCGAAAATACAGCAATTTGAACTTCCAAGTTTTGACAGTGCGTGGCACCAAAATAGGAATGTTGTCTCGTTAAAAAAAGTCTCTCCTCTTGATTTTCAGCAGTATAACCGTTTCAAGTATTAGAAGATATGTTTATGCGAGAGTATGCTAGTTCTCGAGTGAAAAGAAAGAGCTTTTGTAGAAAAAGTGGACTCAGAATGTTTTTGTTGATTTCCGGCGGCCATATTGGTGCACCAAAACGGTGCACCAATATGGCGTCTCCATACAAAGCTCTACAAAATTGCGTGAAACGTTTCGGCAAATAACTCAGAAACTGTGGGGCACAAAGACGTGAGACTTGGGCAAATAGTTTATATATTAGTCTTTTATAACATTTCATTTTCTTGGCTTCTTCCATTGGACAGTTTCCAATTTATTTTTTTGTTGCGTGACAGTGAAAACGATCTATACTTTGCAAATGCTGTATAAATACATTAATATATTCTTTACACTTATAGCTGCCTGTATAGTAGAAATCTTTTTGTTCCACCAAAAGAATTTCATGAAACAAAAATATCTTTAAAATATCTCTTAGTTTCAGTTGCTAATTTTTTGTTTTCTCATGTTGACCAAGATAATTTATACCAAAATTTCCAATAATTACATGAATGGCAAAGGTCTCTTCTAACTGTTGCGCGTGTTTCTAGACTGTTCACAGTAGTCAAGATCAGGCTCTTTCCGGTATGGACAGCCATCTTGGTTTCTTATGTACCGAGGGGGGGGGGGGTTAGCTGTCGGGTTAGGCCTAGATACAAATATCCGGATATTTTAAAGATATTTAGAAGATTTTGAGATATTGTCAGAGGAGGCAAGAAAAATTGCCTCTTCGATTGGGAAAATGTTTCAAGTGTGCATGTTTGCCTGTTTTATTTGGAGCAATGTCCCTGTGAATTGTATTATACAAAATCATTGTTTCGACATTGGGTACGAGATGTTTGTAAACACGCGGAGGTGTCTGGTATGGTTTTCATCTACAGCGGAGTTGGTTAATTAGTGAGTGGTAAAAGGCGTTAGGACAGTCCTTTTGTCGCCTTCTCCCAAACTGTTCCCCGCCCCCTAAGTACATTTGACACTCATTGCATCCAAGATGGCCGCCCGTAAAGCAAAGCGTTCGATCTCGACGATCTTACGGAAAAATAGGGGACTCTGAGAAGTCTAGCTTGATTCCGCTACTTTGAATAACAGACCACGACACATACTACTGGCGTGACAGTCACACTATGCGTCATGTCAAGCTTTACCTTTAGCAATTATTCAAAACTGAAAGACAGTGGTCACCGACAACTGACGTGATTACTCGGTTACTGACACTTCTTTGTAATTCAGTATTTCAGACAACAAGCCAAACCTCAGGTTGTATCTAATATCTCCTGGGGTTACTCATTCATGTGATTTGATGCAAATACCTTCACTTTGATTAATCTACTACACTATCATATCTACAATAATATCTATAATGTCCACCATATTATCTACATCAGTCCTGATCGCACCTTTTATGGTCAAACACGACAGATATTGCTCACATGATTAGCGGGCGTTTCTTTGGGATAATCCAAGATTACATTATCGAAGTCAGATTATTTGAATTCGTTACAACGAAAGAAACGGAAAATCCGATAATGGAACTTTAGGACCTTTAGCATAGGGCGCGAACCGGAGAGGAGTGGTTGGCCAACCGCCACCGTGTGTGCTTTCTTTCGGATTAGTGACGAAAGAAAGGCACGCTGGCTGAGTCTGGGTCATGAATCCTAAAAATCCAGATTTAAATTTGTTCTGATGAATCCATAGTCCTTTAAGGTCGTTACGCAACGGGGAACGGGGGAAGAAGCGTTGGGTGACGACCCTAAAAATGGCCGCGAAGAAGACTAAAGAATACACTCATTTTGTGGATTCTTTAGATTAAAAATTTAATTTCTCCTAGATTTCAGTAAATGAACATTGGGTCCGTTTTTGACTTTGGATTTTCCCAAAGATACCCTAGCCTTTTAGGCACGCCCATAGTAAGATAACAGCTGCTTTGTATCCTTATCTGAAAAGCGTAAAGGTGATGTTACACGGGACGATTTGCAACGACTATTTTTTGCGCAACACAGCGCTGCAATGTTGGAACAATGTTGCAACCATTTGAATCAATGTCGCAACAATGTTGCAACGCTGTGTTGCGCTAAAAATCGTTGTTGCGAATCGCCCCCTGTAACATCACCTTAAATCGCATATTATATGGCTGATTGCTACTTGGCTCTTGACAGAGACTGATCTTGCTTTCCATCTAGCCAAAAGTCCAGACTTCAACGCCAAGACAAATGAAATCCTCGGTGGCGGAAAGCATCTCGCTGTCATAAGTTTCGCAAGCAGTGCTTCTACCATGATACAGATCACTGTCTAACCAAAGCCAAAATTTCCCCCTGAAAATTAACAAAAATTTAATAGTGATCAAGGCACTTCATAGTCTTTAACGCAGCCGTTCTTTGTGTCCTCGCGTCAGCATACTAGGGGCGCTTACTATTTGTCAGTTTTGGCTGGCTAGAGCAGCCCGATCAAAAAGAGAATTCCACTATTAATCATAACCGTCACAATTTCCTCAAATTTGATTGGTGCGTTGACTGCTTTATTTTTCACCAATCATTGTGTAGGGTTGTAATCGGACAGTTGACTGTAATTAATCGGACACCTTTAAGCGCAGAATTTATCACTATAACCAAAGCAAAAATGGACGAATTTGTAACATTACACAATGTCTCTTTGATAATTCCCTAATTGTGGATAATTGGTATTAAAAGCTCTTTCACAAAAACAAAAATGCAGTTGTTTTTCTCGAAAATTGTAATGATTATGATAAAACTGTAACAGCACTTCGATTCGTATCGTCCAATTCGGTCTGTAATCATACCCATGATTAAACAAATCGGACTCCCGCGATTTTGTTAATCAGTCCTATGATCTCAGAAAAAATTTCGAGAAATTTAGACTTGTGTTTCATGTTGAAATTACTCAGACATCTTCGTCGAGTGAACAGACCGATCATGTTTTTTCTAAAATGACACAACATGGTATTTATTCTTTACATCTGCTTTGAATAAGGCCGAGATTGTCTAAAAGCTCTACAGAGCTTGCTTGATCTCCTGCCTTGTAGTGATGTAATAGGTTATGTGTATACAAATGAATGTATGGTAAATAAAGGTACTTCTACTCTCATAATAGAACGGGATGTTGGTCCTAAAAGTTCTTCGAAGTCATGTAAAGCTGAAATAAAATCAAAGGACAGATCCAAATGTTGCATCTAGCAATGTGGGCGGAAACTTGGACCAGCTTAAGGGCCCAAAGAACAAAGGCAGGTTGAGGTTTCGGCAGTTAGAAAAAAAAAATGAAAATAGTCAAACGAAGAAGGGTTTTAATATCAAAGACATGAACTCATCAACACACAACCTCGTCTCCAGGGTTCTTTCCTACCCGTGACCTGCGAACGACTCGGTTGAGCAACACATAGCTCAACTAGAGACTGAAGATCATTGCTTTGTCGATTAAAATAAGTTTTATTTCATTGATGTACTTTACTAATCATTATTAAATTCATAAACAAAATAGTACAGTATACGTATTGTTCGTCAACACCCGGAAAGGAAGGGTGCCATTAAATATGAAAACACCGAAAAGAAAACACTTACTCACTGCTTCCGAAGGCAAGTCCATTTGCATCTCCCGTCATGTAGTAAGAATTTCTTCCACGGCATGGATAAATCTACAAAAAGAGCCAAGCCAATGTAGTTACCTGTATCTTTAACTACATGTGATATTGTGAGGCTACGTTACCCTGGCTCCAAAAGTCCATTCTTAAAATACCCAAGATGAAATAAACCGTGCTTACGGTTTGATAAGGCTCCCGAGACGGACTTTTGTTTCCCTCGGCGCCTCGTTGACGCGGCAAACATCAATATCGATGAGAAAAAAATATCCTCTGAAACCTAGGGTGAGACTACGTGCGTCCCGATAATGAACATAACTTTTCCCCAGGTAAGGGAATCCAGATTCCGGAATCCGCAAGATGTTTGCTTCTGGGAATTTGAGATTTTTATCTGGTGGAATCTGGAATCCTGGATTTTGGAAGCTCAAGGAAACCGGAATGGCACTAGCCATTGGAATCCGGAATCCAAGTTCCTTTGACAAAGAATCCGGAATCCAGAATCCGAGACTGTCCTGGATTCCTTTACATGGGGCTAATAACTATGTCGTGATTTTTAAAGAATCACAGTGATGCAGGAAAAAAGAGTTCCTTTTGGGACAAGGAAAACGTCTGAGCCCTCAAACACTATACCACCATTTTACTGTATGGGAGAAGTCGTTTGAGAGCTAAGTCGGTCACTAGATTCATTGACATGCGTCCTGTATACTGCTCGGATAAACTAAATAACGTCTTAAGGGTCTCGTGCGTAGGTGAAGAAAAAGCGCTGGTGAGAGAACTGGTCGTCCACCAGATGAAACACTGGACAATATGTTTAGTTTTTGGTCTTATCGCTAAGCTTACCTTGAACTGTGGTCTACAAGTGAAGAAATATGATTTTCCAAACCTACAGAAACTAGTGTCCATCCGAGGAGAAATTGGAGAAAATACACCAAACACCTAATAAACAAATGTTAACAAAAAGAACTGGATTTCACTTTCAAAATGTATGAAATTGGAAATATAGACGCCCCAAATCAACCGTGTACGTTTGTGGTAGAGGGACCTACGATCTGTATCTCTTGCGATCTTTTCACTTTTGTGGAAAGTTACCTATGATGTAAATGTTGTGCAGGAGACAGAAATCGTTCGAAGAAGGCGGAACATGAGAGCGATTTCGTCAAATAGGTCAGGGATACATGCATAAGGCTTGAAGCTAGGTCTATACTAGTTGGACTGCCTGAACCCGAAATACAAACATCCGAGTTTGGTGGCGTGCTCAAAAATATGAATCCGTAAGCTGAAGTGAACAGTGCGAATCATTTTTTTCCAATAAGCTGTGTTTGTGTAAACGCCTACAAGTCAGAATACCCTACAGCTAAATGTAATAAATCCGGAAACATTTCTCCTCTAGTATAATTATAGCTTGAGGAAGAGATTTCGACCGGCAAATTCCAATGATGACATATAATGCAACGTTTTTCATCGAACAAAGTGTACTAAAAGACCAACTAGAAGAAAAAGTATTGGAAATTAGGAAAGAGTGATGAAAAAACACTCCTAAATGCTATTGTATATTAATTAATAAAGGTAATAGGACTAAATGGAGTCTAATTCGTTCTGCAATCACATGAGTGATTAACGTCGTAGTCCGATTTGTTTAATCACGAGTAAATTAGAACACAAGAAATTCCGAGAGTTTTCTGCTAGCAGTGAAAAAAAAGTTATTTAAAATAAGTGTGCGCGCGCGATGGCGCGTACTGTCCAATTACTTAGGCAGTACTGTTCTATTACACCGTCAGTTGATAGGCAATCAGATTTGAGAATTTTGTTATAGTTATGATTAACACGAAAATCGGTTCCAGATGACACTATATAAATAGAGCTCACTTACAAATCCCTCTTGATCCTTTACTACCAACAGAACAGGAGTTTCCACGTCTCTCAGCCTGTGATAGAGCATATTCAAGCTCATACCATGTTGATTTCTACTATAGACCAGTATCCAGGTGGATGATGGAACATGCCGTGAAAGCTGAAAGAAAATGATTAAAAGAAGATATGACATGTGCGGACTTGCAAGCAGAATTTTGGCTGCTGTTATTCAAACGTTTGATAGCGCCCAGCCTGTTGCAGTTCAGATTGTGTGAATGGCGCATAAAGATGTTAGCAGAGCAGGATAAACAGCGAAGGGGTGGGGTCGGGGGTAAGAACGAAGGAGCTCACTCCTATTCCCCAGTCACCCTCCTTGCGTTTCCCCTGCTCTTTGACTCCTTCGCGCCGCACTCCACTATCTAAACACCTAGAACAGGCCATATAGCGCTATCCACCAGATAGGCATATTGAAATCCAATTGCGCTAACCACTGGATAGTAATTTGTTCGATGTACAACACTATCCACCTTTTGAACAAACTAGGGCGAGGTGAGCCCGCATTCTCTCAGTGGATAGGTAGGATTTTGCGCTGAACAAGGTGAAATTTAGCCGATCCCTCCTTGAATGTTACTTCACTGAAGTGATCCCCCCTAATAACTTTTGATGAGTTTTGCGATCCCCCCTCCAATGTCTTCATTTTCCAGGCAGATTTGAGTGGTCTCCCCTCTGAGTCTTTCTAAAGCTTTTAGCGATCCCCCCTTTTGGGTTCTCAGTTACAACTGATTTCCCCTTTTTTCTCCCAAAAATCAAGTGATCCCCCCTAAAATCCCCTCCCCCCCCCAGGTGATACATAATGACCGGTCCCTTACCACTGGATAGTAATTTATTCGGTGCACAGCACGATCCACCTTTTGAGCAATTAGGGCGAGGTAAGCCCGCGTTCTTGGCCGTACCATCCTCAGGGTCGGAATTGAGATAACTGAGGAAAATGCGCTCCCTTTGCTCTGGTTTTGCAATTAGTTAAACTTTATAGTCTTCTCAGATGAAGAAGGAAATTCGTAGGCCCCGTCTCGTAACACTTGAACTGTGATATATAAAATAACAATTAAAGAAACGTAGCAAACTCCAGCAGTAACCATATCGCATCTGTCAAGGGTTGTGGAGTTGGCACCCTCTCTTTACAAACGGGGGCACCTCTTTTGTAACCCATCTTAAATGGGCAGGTATGTTCACAGTAAAACTGGACAAAATCCCAGAGAACATAAGCTTTTCTTTAGTTCAGAACTTGACTCAACCGCGTGAAACAGCTCCAGAGATGGTTTCTTTGCCGTGGAGCCAAAACAACCGGAAAGAAAACGCAGCTCGGATAAAGGTAAGTACGCGCGGACTGGGAAGTTCCTGAAGTTATTTGTGCACAAAAAACACATGTCAACAACTTGCACATCTCGTCATAATTCAAGGTGGCTGCTCGACTTGTTCCCCCAAACTATCCCAAAAATGAGCGCGCGCTTAGTTTGGGTTCCAGGCTATCACTCTTTTCCGAAGTGAGCTATTGTGGGCGACAAGAGGAGCCAGCAATCGTAATCTCCAGGTTGTTGTTACGCATGCGTTGCATGTCCGTAACCAGCATTCTTTTGGACTTCCACTAAGGATGAATGGAATGCACAGAACGCAATTTGATCACTTGTGATTGGACCGCTCGTGTCTTCGGTCGAGGACGTGTCAGCCTATGGTCGAAGACGCTCTTCGCTGCACGCGAGAAAAACCCTCTGTTACCCAGGGTATTAATGACCGATGATGATTTGTTTTTAGTTACTCGTTTTAACTGATGCTGACTTACGAAGATTCTAAAAGAAGGTAAGTTAGAGAAGCGAAACAGTAGTTTTATTACGTGGCCGAGTGCCACAGCTTCACAATATAAAACAAGGCTGTTTCTAAAAGTATTAAGCCTATAGCTTTAAAATTGATCTCGTCTTCAGAATTGCGCCTTTTTCTTAGAGAACCGCCTTCTCCGCAGAAATACGCCTCCTCCGTAGAAATGCGCCTTCTCCGTAGAAATGAGCATCCTTCAAAGAAACACACTTTTTCCGTGGAACTAAACCTCCATCGTAGAAATGAGAGTTTCCTGAAGAAATGAGCCTCCTCCGTAAGAAATAAGTCCTCAACTCCTGTACCCCAACTTGTCCAACCAGTAATTTCAAGGTTACAACTACTTTATTACAATCCAGTAGTTTACGGGTTACAATCCCCTCATTCAGTCTATAAACCTGTACCTTGTAGGTTGGTAATCTCCCTTATAAAAGTCAGATAGGTCTGTGCTGCCCCAAAGGGTATGTGGGCCTTTTCGGCCTGAAAACGGGTATAGACCAGTTTTTCTGGAATAATGCATGGTTTTCAAGTGAACTAGGGGAGTGTATGAAGGTATTTGTCGTTTAAATTCCAAATGAGTAAGAAAGAAAGAGAAACATGCGCGCGGATTCGAAATGGATTTTAAGAAATTTTTTGTTAGCGTTCTAATCTAAGTGATGATGACGTATTTCTGCTTATGCAGCAAAATAACATATTTTGGTTTAAAATAGGGTCAGGATTCGGAGAACAGGGTGGCACATCCCCACAACTCCCAGGGATACCCCTCGGGGGCTATCCCTTCGTCGGAGCGAATCCTGTTGTCTCATCACAATATCAAAGACCTTGAAGTTCGTCGAAAATATTTCAGTACTAATCTTCCTTTCAACAGTGTGCGATATGTGATGAAACACTGTCTCCTTTTTGATATGATGCTTTTTCATAATTTTCTCCTTTGCTCTGTAGGTCGGCTTGCTCAAGTACAGTAGAACAGCCAATCGACGAAGAATCCCATCTTTTAAGAGAGGAAGATATTGATAAGGTATCAATCATTTACGACTTTTACATAGTTTGAGCAACAACAATTTGCCGTCTGTTCTCTTTGAATAGACTATTTGTTTTTCAGTGTGCTGTGAATCGCTATATTTTCCTTGTCGTGTGGTAATATAATTAAGTCTTATAATATTAATATTATAAGGCTTTAAATCATAATTAATCACTATCACTATCAGAACCAGTCTCATAATCAATACCAAGAATATTTTTAATCTCATCACTATCAATCCCAGACTCACCATCACCATCACTATCAGGCCAATTAATTTTATACTTATCAAATACCATTTTGAATTTACTATGAAATAACCCAATACATTTAAGAAGATTTTTATAACCTGGAAATTCAAGATCCACATAACTATTAAACACTTCTTGATCAAACTGCCATTCATCATCAACATAATAATCACCAAAATCAGCTAAACTCTCCAAAAGTAACGGTGAATAAGGAACATCTTGTTCATCAATCTCTATATTAGTAGTATCATTAAGATAACCCAATCTCTGAGCTTTTTCAAGTCTATTAAGAGCAGCTTTCCCTAAATATCGACCAACTGTCGGCACAAGTTCAAAATTCAATTTCCTTCATTTTTTGCTCATCGGTAACCCTTAATGAGTAAGCAAACCAGCTGTAGTTAGTTTTTCCAAACACAGCTTTCTCTCGTTAAAATTCGAGGAAACCCATTTTCCCCGATCAGAGGTCAGTATCCACTTCCGGTAACACGAAATTTCTCAAAAATTCAATCAACTCGCTTGTCAAACTGCAAGTAGTTTCGAGTCTTTGAGCAGCATAAACAATTTCCTTAAGCCTTGCTGTTCTTAAAAATGAATCATTTGAAAAATCTTGAATATTTTTGGTGCCAAAGGTAATTGCTAAGTAAAGGCTACATTTGTCTTTTTCTACGGAGCTAAAATATAACAAAACATATGTCCAATTTTAACGTTGCGCTATAACTTCGAATTTCCTAAACTGACCTTCCATGGCTTACTTAGATACTAATCTAACGGAAAATCAAAAAAAATCTCTGGGCAAACGATTTTAACTGACCCGCAAGACTTGATGTTTTACTCTAATTTTGCGAAGATTGCTGCTTTCGCATTGTAAATAATTGCGTGACACGGTTCGTCACGATATTGGCGTGAGCAACAACTTTTGTTTGTACGCCAAAACCATTCATTTTGTGGGAGAATTTGTCGAATTAAAACAAAAAATCAGTATTACAATGTTCAAAGGCGTGATTTTTCCTTAAGAGCTTTGTGTTTTTGTTTGTCTGTTTTTTTTTGTTTGTTTTTTTTTTCAGCAAATTAGCCATGTTTTTCAATGTGGATTTTAATGTCATGTTTCAGGAATTGCACATAAGCAAAAAAGTAGCAACGCATACACAACCAAAACAACAAATATATTTCACTGAAGCAGGAATATATATAGCCATTTTAATAATTTGTAATAATATGATATATATTATAAATCCTTAGGCGACGCGACAACACTCGCACGCCGATTTCACATTTACATTCCTGAACAGCTAGGACTGCGATTCAGAGTAATGTTGGCTTAAAGGGAAAAATGTCTTCGCGATTTCCCCGATTGAAGCTGTATCCGCGAGAGAACGCATAACTTTTGGTTTTCTTGAAAAAAGCAAGACCCGACTATGTTTTAGTTATTCCCGATCGGGCCACTCAGTATTTGACTCCACCGAGTCGCTTGGTTCGGGTGGAGTGGTGTTAGGGTTTTTAAAATCTTCAGCACCACATTAATCTTTGAAAACTTTGATGGGGGAACATGCCCTCAGGACTCTCTTAGCCTGTAAACAGACGTTGTTTTATTATTTTTCTTTTCGAAGGCGGAGCGCGAGAAAGAAAAATAAATTAATTAAGAGAAAATAGAGGGTCTGTGGACAGACTACCTCCTAGATGCATGCCCCTCTGAGTTCTGGAATAGCAGTTGCTATATTTAATCTCACCTGATTTCTTTCAAAAACAAAGCGTTAAATACTGAAGAACTAAGTTGAGAACATCGCTAAGGATTCTGCACTACAGTAATTTAAAACTACTATCTGTATGAAACTTAATAAAGCTTTCTGCTGGATAATAGCCTGAGTATCAGGCGTTTCTGGGGAAAAGGGGAAAAATGGAAGCGAAAAAGGAAGAGAGGTGAAGGAAAGAAACGCCTGACACAGATGCTTTTACTGGAGCCTTCCACCCTCACACAGCATGATTCGATACCATCCAATCAAAATCACTTCCGGTTATTGGGTTGTCAGCTTTACGTGTCAAAAAGCTCGCCTGAAATAAATCTCACTTAACGGTCCAGCCGAGCTCCGGTGCTTGTGTTGCTTTGGTTTAGGAATTGTGCTAGTGTAAGATCGCCAACGCTATGTTTGTAAACAAACGTGTGTCCGGAAAATTGTAAATTGCTTTTGTTTACAGAGTTAAATCAGGCGCTTGTCTGGCAGCTAAAAAGCTGGTGTTATCCCTCGTATTCTCGGGTGGTTGAAAGGAGCTGTAAGAATATATAGGAAGGTGCGATAGTGACACACCTATGCCTAAAAATTATCAAGCGGCAGCAGATTCCACCACTTCACAGAGAGCTCGTGAAAGCTGTTACAAGTTGAAAACAAGTGAGAGCCTATAGCAAAGGTCAATCCCGCTGGCGAAATATGATGGCGCCCGCTTGAGCTTAAGACATTTCAAAAGTGAGAAGATTTTGGAAGAGGAAGCGAACGAATTCCAATCACGTACGTTATCGTAACCGCAACAAGCAAAGTCAAGCTTTTTAAAAGCATTGGTGCTGTCGGCTATCCCCGCGGCTATCTCAATACATGGCTACCTCGCTCTATTTTCATTTACAGTAATAATACCCTTTTAACGGCAGGATGTTGTAAATCTGAACTTAGATATCTGAAACACTGATATCGTCTTCTTTGTCCCGGTCTTGTGAAACCAATACTTGGACATAGTTTCGGCCGAAGATGGTATATGAGGCTTTTCCTTACTTCGAGTACATGTTTCCTTTAAACTACGAGGCCTTGAAAACACAATTCTTGCTCGGGTTTTATTTTTATTCCAGGAAAGAACTTGAGAGCGCCCTCTAGAGCCTTTTTGAATTCCTCTCTGCGTCTCTGTCTGTAAAAGCATCACATACCGGTAACATGAAATCAAAACATCTATGAAAAATTTCAATGAACGTCTCCTTGCCGATCGCTCTTGCGGTCGGTGACGTCAAGGGGTATTGTGTGTTATCCAATGACTGCCACATCCAGATTTTGGATGTGTCACACGATTTGCTGAATGGATTTGTGTCAGGTCTTCCTTTCTCTTCTCCCCCTCCCCCCTCCCCCATCTACAATCTCCTCTCCCCTAACCCCGTAGGAAGGCCTGATACTCAGGCTAGCTGGATAATTAAACATTGATCAACATCTCAGGTTACTGGGTGAAGGAATTACTTTAATCAGTTGTCCCAGCCTCCTTCGGAAGGTTACCAGACACGTGACTTTGCGATGGGTTTGATTTCGATTCCATTGACTTCTGCTACTCTTCGAGGAGACGTTTTCCGCACTTTGAGGTACGATTACAGCTTTATGGCTGCAAAGTCTCGCCCAGTTTGACATCTGACATTTTAATACAGTTCATTCAGTCCTTGTTTATTGTGTCCCCTGCATCGTTATGCACCTATCAATGTAAAGCCGGCGGGGGAGGAGGCAGGGAATGGGGTGGGGATTTGATTGTTTTTGTTGGCCCCGGGGTGGGACGTTTGACTGATCTTGTTCTTCTGGAAGAGGGGATATTTGAATCTTTCTTCGCCCAACGACGTGGGGATATTTGACTGCCGACTCGGACGAAAGACACTGAGACCGAACATCCATGCTTCACGCATGCGCCGCACGGTCTGAAAAGGTCTGGAAATCATGAAGACCAACGAGGAGAATCGAAAGGTGAGTGGATTTCACTGTTTTGTCTTAAAATTTCGTTTGTGTTAGCGTCTCTTTGATCAATGGATCCTTTTAAGATACTGCGGTATCAGAGTAAACGGAAGCAAAGAGAAACAGTGAATTTTGACCAGTACAATTGATCAGTGTATGGCTCATTCGGTACAAACGGTATATTAAAACTTACAAAATATGATATGGACTTTCTCCTAAAGGTTTCTGTATTCTACGCAGTGTAACACCGATCGAATGGTTAAAACGTATAATTGCAACAGGAATATGTATCTTTGGTGATGCAGCAGCATTTTAAGAAAAAGATTGTAGAGTTTTATTTGGACTGAGATATTGTTATTGTCCCTTTGGGTCCAGCCGTGCGTTATTTGACAGCAAGGTGCAGCCCGGGGTGGGGAAATTTGGTTACATTTGACTGGAATGATTTGCCTGTGGGTAGGGAATTTAATGCCAAATTTTTGAAAAATGTGAAATCCCCACCCCATGCCTCGCAAAGTGGTACTCCAAAGCATCTCCGCACTTTCACCAGGTGCCATTACTTCCAGTGATGCAGCAACGGCTTCGCTGGCTTTTTTGATATAATAGCGTCTCGTCCTTTCACTGGCGTCATTCCAGGGTGTCGTTAAGGAGGAACGCACAGGACTTATGTCCCGCGTAACAAGGAATTTGTTAAGCGCTGATCGTGAGTTTTCCATCTGATTCTGTTGAACAAACTGATCTAAGGAATCTTCAAGGCTCCCGGATTCTGGTGGCAAGTATAAACTTCCAGCTTCTGACCATCCCGGAGTTTCTATTTTAAACGATGTACTGGTTGAGAAGGTGGTATGCCTTTCCTAGGAAAGAACGGAGAAGGGCACTAATTTTGTCAGTGAAAGTCAAGGATCTGAATGCATCGCCAATGAATTTCACCTTTCTCATACTCTTTGAGCAGGTAAAAAACAGGAATTTTTGCAAAACTAGAAAGCATTCTTTTTGTCCATGCCCGTAAAATATAATTAAGGTGTAGTTTTTCACCACTACAAAAAGTCGCGAAGGTTGAGGAATGGGCGCTGATCAACCAAGTCTAGTTACAATTTTTTGTCACCAATAGCAATAATGCTGTGTCAAAGCTTCCGCACGATAGCCAAATTGATAATGATAATAAGAAATGATAATGATAAAGATGGTGATGGTGATGCTGGTTACGGCTATGATAACTGTAATGATACTAGAAATAATAGTGATAACGATGATGATGATGATAATGATGATGACAGTAATGACGATGATCCTGATCTTATGACGATGATGATGATGTTGATGATGATAAAACAAGGACTTTGTCCTGAACAATGATATAGTGCTGCCGTTGGAGGAAAAAATAAGTATGAAAAAAAGATATGCAGTTTTGCTGGGGAAGTTGCACTTTCAAAGTGCTCAAATTCAGATTCTTCGCGCGCCACGCCCTCACACTAGATCTCGGTTCCGTGCTGACAGTTGATTTTAATTAAGGTGAACAAATTTTAATAAAAGGGATAAAAACATGCTGAACGCTCAAAAAAAGTGACTGCTCACCTCCAGACCTCCACCCCGCCCCCTCCCGCGCTCCTCAAAAACAAAACTTACAAAAGACCTGTACATAAATAAGCTTCCTTGTAAGTGTCCTCATTGAGCGTTTTCCAGAGATAGGCAGGGGAGGCACGAAAAATACGCGGCAAGAGGTCAAGACGCGAGAAAAAAAATCTCTCGCTTCTCGCGTGTTAAGCGCGCGACGCTATGTTTTGACGGGGGACAGGGTCGGGAGTTTTCTTTTTTTCTACTGCGGATTATTTTACCTACTTCTAATTTCGGAGCATTTCATTCGATAGCGATCTAATACTTTTAGTTAACTATTACAGTTGTCAACTTACAGGTGAAGTTTCTTTACATTCAACGGCACTTTCCTCACAATGCGCACTAGCAACAGATTCGTTCATTTGCTTTGGAAGCTTAGTCTCCTTGGAAAGGGAGGTCAGAACCTGCTTACACGATCTGCAAACACCTGAAAATAGTAACCGCTAGACTTGAGTCTCATTATATAATATATATATTTACATAAGATGAACACAAGTGAAAATGTTGATCGTTGGACTTACCTGATCCTACTGAAACCAATAGTCCTGTTTTATTCCAGATAACATGCGAAAATAATTTGCTTATTCCTCTGTCTGCTTTAGGACATTTGCCTCTTATGTTTTTATGTTTGGATATTTCGTATGGAACCCTACACCTATCGGTTCCCCGTGTCCATCCTATACCTAAGGAAGATCGATGAGATGGGCAAATTGTCATTGTTTGGACACTTTCCTGAATGGAAAACACAGCAGCACGGGCAAGGATCAGTTCTACTTCGTTGTCCACATCTTGAAAATTCCAGAGCGACTTGTGATTAGTTATACTTTTACTGCACGACAGAAGCGGCACTATCTCTGTTGACTGTTTTTTTGTCTCTCCGATCAAAGGAACACAACCCTCCAACTAATGTCTTAAAGGAGCAACAAACCTCCATGTTGATGTTCTTAGAAAGCAGTTGATTTTAACAAGAAAATTGAACAATTAAATGAGGTACGATGAAAAGATAAGCGCTGTTTTCATACCTTGGAATGATGCCAATAGGGTAACAACTCGGAAAAGCCTCAAGAACAGTTGAAAACTCAGAAAACTGTAGCTGTCTTACCGATTTTATTTATTTATTACATTTAATAGTTTCCCTTTCTTGTCCCTTTTAGAAAATATGATTCCCGGTTTTATTTCCAATTTTTTTGCCAAAAAGTGTCGAATAGTCCAGACAATTAGACGCCTGACGCAGATTTACATTAAGAAATGAATAACGTTTTTACTCGCCAGCGAACAACAGGCAGCGTTGCAGGGAAATTCAGGTCTCGCTGGCCATAGCCGCAAACCGAAGTAACAGTTCATAAATAAACAAAAATAAGAAATGGACTTTTTTTCAGTCGTATGACCCATTATTCGCCCCAGTTGTTTTGAGTACAAAAATTGATCGTTGTCTGTTTGACGCTCAACTTTAAAAAGATAAATAACGTAATTATTTTAACAACGTTATTTACATGTACTACAGCTCAGATTGATCGGGGCTTTTGCTTTCATTTTGACCAGGCTTGTATAAAATGCTATATCATGCGCATAATGTGAGTCAATAGGTCTTGCCATACCGAAAAAGGATCGCGCTAGTGTTGTTTTGGTTAATAATCTGTAATATAGAAACAAATACATATTCCTATGTTTGTGAGACACATCGTCTTTTCTGTATTTTGTTTTTTTACTTGAGCGAGGAAAAAAAGGTTCTTTTTGGGATGCCTGCCGGTTGTAATTCTCGTCGGTGAAGACTGAAAGCACTGGACTATCGACAGGTGTTTATGTAAGAAAAAGAAGAGTGCACATTCATATACTCATGTCATGAAAAATTAAAAAAAAAATCGATAAATAAACCTTAAAAGAAAATTTTAAATAAAGTTTTGAATGTTTTTTCTTTTCTCCCATGATTATTATTAAAAATGATTATTATTTTAATCGCATACTTGCTATCTGACAAAAATGCCGTGACGAACCGTGTCACGCAATTACGTCCGCATAAAAAGCGGCAATTTTAGCAAAGTTAGGGTTAAACTTAAGGCCTTGCGGGCCACTTAAAATCTTTTGCCCAGAGATTTGTTTTGATTTTCTGATAGATTGGTATCTAATTAAGCCAAAAACAGTTATTTTACGAAATTCTAAGTTATAGCGCAAGGTTAACATTTGCTATTTTTTATCCCTATAATTTGACTGCCTAAAAATCGCAAGTAGGGCCCATTTTTAACAATACCTTTTGGCGACAAAAATTTTAGAGTTTTCACAAATCTATCATTATATAACAAAGAAAGAGTAAAAAGAACTATACGGGTCGACCAAAAACTACCAACTCCTTGTAGTTTGACAGACGAGACGATGAAAGTTCTGAAAAATTTCGCTTTACCGCAAGTGGAATTTGAGACCCAAGCGGGCAAAATGAGTTTTCTCGATTTTTAACGAAAGAACACGTTATGCAAAAAAAACTAGCTACACCCTATTTCATCACTCATTAAGGGTTATCAATGACCAAAAAATGAGCGGAATCGAATTTGTGCCACAAAAAGTCGATTTTGGTCGATATTTACAGACAGTCCCTCTTAAAAACATTGTCGAGCGAATTCTTGTCACCCCAATGACACAAATATCGAATGGCAAAACGCAAAACATAGTTCTTCAAATCATCAGCAATACTTACAGACGTTGTTGAGGATGATACATCTACAACAGCTGAGACGATTTCATTGAAAGAAGCCTCGAGGTACTCACCCCCAGACGTTTTGTCAACAAACAACGTCCGAACTTTACCTTTGTCTGACAACCACACAGGGATCAAACTGTGAAGGAAGGTCATTGTCCGATCGGAAGTTGTTAAAACCACAAACTGTGAAACAGCATGCATCTATTACATCATACTCTTCAAGGCCTGAATTCTCTCTTTTGAGAAAAAACGCGATAAACGATGCAGGAAGCGGAGACGGTGCGGCCATGATACAGCCAAGAAGTATCCTGTACAGATCGCGCCCTACCTTGTCAAATACTCGTTGAAAATTTTGCATAAAGAACTCATCGATATCACCTGGAAAGTCAGTCAGCTGGGCCAACTGAGTTATTTTACCTGATTTTGCTGAATCTTTCAGTTCTTTTACAATGTAGAAGGCGTACAAGAACAATCCACCACACTTCTTTGTGACGTCTACAGGTGAAAAGGAGAAAACGGAGAAATCTATTTCTTCCTCTAAATATCTTTGAATGTCTTTCTTGTGCTGTTGATAGAAGTTATCCCAATCAGTAATTCCTGCGCACATCTTAATGCATGGTTTGTACCTGCTCAATCTGCTCTGTATTTGTTCTTCGGGGCGACTGGTGATAAAGAACACAAGCCACTGTGGAAGACGGGGGAAATCTAACTTAATTACATTAAGAAAATCTTTCCGGGACCCGTACTCTGTCTCATCTAGAGCGTCAATGATGACTAATCTGCGATTCGGAGGAGACCTGCACTTAGCTAAAGGCTCTTCGAGTAATTTCGCAAATAACTCATGAACTTGAAGTTTGAATTCGGAGTTAGTTATCAACTTTCTAACACCCTCCTCCCCTCCCACTATGCTACTGTACTCACTACTGCATCTACAGAGATCACGTGCTAGAGTTCCAAGAAGGCTCAAAGGATGATTTCTTCTTCTATTTTTATGACGACAAAAATAAGCAGCAGCCAAATGTCCAGCATCTCTTTTACTCTGTGCCAGGGCTGCTGCTATAACACTTTTGCCAACTCCTGCATCACCTAGGAGAACGTAAGCCCTGGAATCACCAGGATCAGTGAACCATTTTTCAAAATCTTCAAACAGCGATTGCCTTGTATTTTCATGGCAACGCGCGGCAAAAAACCTGATGTCTGATTCACAATCGGCAAACTCTGCAAAAATAAATACATAAGTAAACGAATAAACAAACAATCACCTGAGTTGCCGAGGTCTACTTTGAAGACGTTCTTGTATGTATTTAGAGCAATAATAACGTGAATACCGTAAAATTCTGAAAATAAGCCCCAACGCTCCTATTGTTTCTGAAAGAATCTTTTTAGTGGCATACATTCATGGAAGGGGGTTTGAAAACCTCATGGACAAGTCAGCATCGACAAAAATCACTTTTTCGTTGTACAACAGATAATAAAGGGGTAGTGGCTATAGAAATTCGTGACAACTTCATTCCTAGTGAACATGCTAACTTCAACAATTAGGCAGTAAACTTAAGTGAAAATGAAGATATCCTGAATATATAAGATACCAGCTTATGGTTGCTGTATAAAATAATAAACAGTCCATATACTGTATTTCATGCTGTAGCTTAGTGCTTACAGAAACCTAATCAGTAAAAACTTACATTCGGGCTAGTGTCGTTTAGTTGTTTTGGTATGGTTTATTGAAAATCGATGGCAATTCCCAGATGTAATTCCCCCGCCCCCCGACCTGAAGGTCTTATTATAATCGTGGGAGACTTTTTTGGTTTGAAAAAGAGGGGTTTATATTCGAAGAAGCTTATGAACGGAGGGTATCATTTAAGGAATATTCCGGCTGAACTAATGTCAATCAATAGTTTTCCTAACCTGGAATTATTGGAGGTTCAGCAGAGCTCTGTTTTTCTTCCACTTGTGTTAATCGCAGTTGCACATCAGCGACGTCTGACTTCAGAGATTTAACACTTCCCGCGACTTCCACACACTCTGCGCTGCGTTTTATCCCTGCCACTCTTCCTGGTGCAAAGAAAGTAAAATTAATTTCATGATCAATCATCGTCTTGCGAACACCTTGCACGCAAAAGGGCACACTTAGTTTGAAAAACCAACTTTAAAAATCTTAGTTTCTTAGGATATGAAGTGTTATACTTATAGCGTTTGGGTTGGGTAATAGCAAAAGAACCTACAACAGGGGGCAAATTTGTAAATAGACAAAGAAAGAAAGAACAAAAAAAGAAACTACTCAGTTATGGTTTGCCGAGCATTTCTGAGAAATGAACTTGTGTCATACCACTGATCAGAAAGTAATAAATTATTTTCAATATAGGTTTGGTCTGAGCACCTTAACGTATCATTATCCCTATAGTTGACATCAGCCTTAATACTGCAGATTGCCATGGTGATGACCACAGGGATTAATTCAAGGTTTGGAGAGAAGGCAGAGGGGAAGTACACTGTCATACAGAGCTTTTTTGTTGGTGCCGTTTTCAGTAATACTGCAAAAATTAACTATGACAAAAATGATCAAAGAAATGGTTGTCGTTGAACAGAGGAAACTTGTGTGTCATCCTCAGAATTAAGTTTCGTCACTGGCACAGGATACTTTTCGCTTTAACAGCATTTTTGAAGTTGAGATACATAAAAAAAACGCAACAAAATAGAAACAAACAAACAAAACAAGACTAGGGTTTTGTCAAAATTACCTTTATAATGAGGCCAGGAACGGAAAACAGTGGAATTACTCAAAATATGCATAACAAGTGAAGCGGCCATCACACAAGCACAGCGACGCCAACTTTTTGCGTTCTGTTGAGCACTGCTGCTAACTGCATAATCAGCTATTCCTTTGACAATCAGCCATTCAATCCCGCTGTCAAATGCTGCAGTGAAAACACCTGTAATCCAAAACAGAGTTATGTAACTCTTCTGCTTTCAGAGGTAGGGAAGTGACTTAACAGAGGAAAGTTTGACTTCAGTTGATGGATGCAAGTGTCTGTCATACGTTTTCTAACATCATTTACATTTACATTTACATGTGTTGGGTCGGTAAAATCGATATCACACCAGCCAATCATAACATGATGTTTCAACTTGATGTTTGAATTTCAAACAAACAGTTGAACATTTTTTATCAGACACAACTACACATGCATTCAAGGGCCAGGTCAAGGTAATTAAAGTATATTATTGTACCGTACTTTATTCCATTTTGAACAACGTACTGAATAAAATGCCCACTATTTGTGACTGGCATGGTCGTTTCCTGTGATCTCTCTCAGTACAGACACATATAACAGTCAGGGTTTATTCTAGAGCGCAGCCTTGTGGGATTCCCGAAATTTGGAAAAAAAGCCGCATAAAATTTACGCTGCCGCGTCAAATGGGGCGCAAAAAATAAAGACCGAAGGATAAGTACTATTTGAAATAGAGTATTCGAAAACGTAACTGACAACAACACTGATTTGACGGCCGATCTATAAACTTACTTTGAACTTTTATAGACTCTTACTGCCTCAATTGCCTTTCTGTTCTTCTCTTTTTGAGTCATTATTTCACCACACAAAACACCCGGGATTCTGCAGTCATTCGAGCCCAGGCTTTTTCAGTTGCCCAGAATGTTCCAAAATGGCGGCAAAGCTTCCCTTCCCCCTTTCTTGAAAAAGGGCTCCCCTAAAATTACAGAAGGGGGGCCATTTGACCCTCATTCGCTAATTTCTAGAATAAACCGTGGTAGCTGACATGGCACCGAAAAATGTTTTGTCTAGAATGGTGTGTAACCGTTCTAAAAGGCTGTGCTCTAAGAAAACTTGAAGGGAGTTCAAAGCTCCAAACCTGTGGAATCCAGCCTGTCTAGGAAATAATTTTTTTTATGAAAAAACTAAGATTTTGTAATCCCAAAGAAAAAAAGTTAGGTTCAAGGACCCACTGAGCACTGTAAGAGCACATCACATCACCTTGTTCCCAGGGTTCTCTCCTACAGCAACTACAAGCAATGTAAGATCCCCACAACTGAGACAAAAATATGAACAATGGTGAAACTCTGGGGAAAATAATTATGAACAATCTAAACCCTTCTATGACTCAAATGCCCTCACCAACCTAGTTTTTTGCTCTTAAAACATAATTATCTTTAAGTCATCTTTGATCTATAATAATTATGTACTAAACAGACACTATGTACCAATTAACTCAGGCTAGTTACTCTAGCACTGAGTCAAAAAAGAGACTGATGGGAAGGGAGTGTCACAAGGAGACATCAGTACCTCCGTGTGACCATTATATTCTCACTACATTTTCCTGAGTTTTTCGTACATCTTACGAGTCATTGCACTAAAGACTTGTGCACTATATGCATATCAAGTAATATCAGGAAGTTTCTGGAATATGATTACACAAAAAATGACAAACACCTTCGCCTTCCATCTCCACAGCCATTGCCATCAGGTTGCACTTAGCCAGTTGATCACGTCGATACTCAGCCTGGATCTGCTCTGGACCACTCAGAATTTCACCACAATGTACTTCAACTGCTTGACTTGCTTCCGGATTCTTCAAAGGAGCCTCCCAGCCATCAGCACAATTCTTTATGACATTAAGAAAATGTTTGCTGATATAAGTTCTCAAGCCAGTTGATTGCTCTTGATCAGACATTACTAGTTTGGATGCATAAGTTGATAATCTAGATGAAACAATGACATCTCCTAACTTTGTTTTCGCAGGATTAAGACCACTGCAGGCTCCTACAGATATAACTGCCTTGGGTCTTAGCACAGTGACAGCATTCTTCACAGAAATCAGAGAACCACCTGGACCACCACTTCCACCATAGCACTTCAACAATGCAATTTTCACTTTCTCTTTTTGACTTTCATCCTCTTCCTCAAAGTAAACATAACCAAGGTCATCAAACCACTGTCTGCATGGATTTTTAAGTTGCTGGTAACAAGCTAAAAACTCATCATTCTCAACTGTCAAAAACAGAATATCCACAGGCAATTTTGGTTCCTTGTCTGTTGTCTGAATACCACTAGAAGATGGGACATCATAAAGAAGCTGAGGTGGGTCTCCATGGTAATCCTTTGAACTGTTAGCAGCCTCGAACAACATATTTCTCCCTCTAACCTATAAAAATAGTCATGGAAAAGGGGGAAAATCAACATGTATTACTATTATTAGATGTATGTATCAATATTTAATATTAATATTATTACACATAATTTTTGACTGCCTATACAAAATTAAATACTTTGACTAACTTGCCACATTAATTTAAAGCAAATAACATAAATACAAACTATGGTAATAAAATAATCATGGACTGTATTTATGTAATTTACTTTAAGTTAACATGGCAAGTTGGTCACAGTATTGAAATGTTGGACTGAGTGTTGTCACCTCTCCCATTAATACTGAAATTAGGACTGCCAATAACAAAGATGACAGCTAGAGAATTTTGAAAATCGTTGATTATTAATTTCTTAGTTGTATAGTACCTTGGTATGGTCTACATCTGCATTTTACTCAATGAACACCAGCTACAAAAAAGGCCAGTGACAGGAAGACAAGAGAAAATGTATAGTTCTTAATGTGATCTGTCACAAAAAGTGAGCTAAATATTATGACAAGCTCCTACTAGAAAAAACAGCCACACTTTTAGGTTATTGATTTCTCATAAGCAACCACTCAGTCAACACTCGTATACAATCACTAATTTATTGATCAAATTCTGGATATACATGTAATATCATGGGTGACAAAAAACAACTTCTTAATACGGAGCCAATTTTCAGAATTAACTTATAATTTCACACGTGCAAAACCCATGTTTGAGAGCATAATAATTTATATATTTAAGCCGACATTTCGTGATGCCACGACAAGTTAATTTCCCTGCAAAATGATGTCTGAGAAGCGAGCCCAGAAATTCCATACTGATGACTGTCACTACCTATAGATCTGGGTAGGGACATTTGCTTCAACCAATCAGAGCACTCCCAAGATCTTGGTACTGACATGTCATTACCTTGGAATTTATGCACTCGTTTCTCAGACACAATTTTTCAGGGAAACTTATAGGAGACATCAGTACCTCAGTGATGGTGTCACAAAATGTTGGATGTCTTCTCGAGCTACCATGAATTTCATATCAATAGGTAATCAATATAAAAGGTATACTGCCTAGTGAAAATAGCAAGGGCACAATATGTCTTACATTTTTAGAAATTATTTGAACAAAAAGGCATGTGAAATTATTCCCTTATTTCAGATGTCACCATTTGATTATGCAATATTGTTTGTACAGATACATCTATGATTCGTAAAGAAACTTATTCAATGAAATACTCCCGGGGATGGTACTCCCTTATATAAGCCAATTATAGGTCTGTGCTGAGCGAGCCTGAAAGGGTATGGTTTTAGCCCTATTTCGGTCTGAAAATGGGTATAGGCTTTAAACAGTTTTGTCTGGAATCAGATGTGGTTTTCGAAGGGAACTACAGGAATGCATGAACATTTCAATTCCAAATGAAAAAGAAAGAATTCCAAATGAAAAAGAAAGAAAGATATGTGAATTCAAAATGGACTTGTTGGAGTTCTAATCTAAGTTATTTCAGGTCTGAAAATGGGTGTGGAAAATGACATTTTTTGGTCTGAAAAAGGGTCAGGATTTGGAGAAACACTGATGCACACCCCCACTAAGAATTCCCAAGAGCAAAGCCCCTACCTACTGGCAACAATTAATAATTATTGAATTCCGCTTTCGTATTATCTGAAGAATATTATTATAAAGATCGAGGAGAGGCCGAGGCGGATAACACCCTCCAAAATCTCCATAATTCTTCAGATGATAAGAAAGCCAAATTTAATAATTCTTTCATTATTCATTCAAAATAATTATTCCTAGTTTCAAACCAAGCTAAAACATGCTTACCTCTGTCGATGTTAAGTTCATCTTCGATAGTGCATGTTTATCAGCAAGTTTAGAAGATAAAGGGTTGTTAAGTTTTGTAAAATATTCTCTAAAGAGCAGATGTCATCCATTGAGTTGTCTTCTTGCTGTTCTCAGGCGCGGATCCACACCCGTTTTCATCGTTTTATAATATTAAATTTTATAATATTAAATTTTTTATAACACCAGTTTTTAATATTAAAAAAATTTAAAAAACGTTTCAAGATGCAAGGCTTCATTCGAGTAGAAAGGAACTTGCCAATATCCTGTCTGAATGACTCAGAAACCCAGGAAAGGGGACTTTAAGGAGTTAAAATCCCCCAGACCCCTCCAGCAGCTTACGCCTACAGCGCTTGTTTAGGAAATTGGTCAGTATTTATCCTAGATCTGCACCAGGTACTTGCTATGCTTTTAGCCAATAGTTGGCCTTTTTCTTCCTCATGAAACAAGTGAAATGTTCCGCCATTTTGTACTCACTACCAAAACAACTCAACCTTGTCCCCAGGTCTTCGCGATTAACTGTTCAATATTTTGGCAATTTACTGCACATTTGAAGTTATTTTTCACATATTGCAGAATTCACCCAAATTTGGTCGACAGTAGCTGGTTATGGTGAATTATGATGAATTATACGTGGGATTTTAGCCAATCAGAAACGGAGAAATATTTTGAATGAATAATAACAGAAATTATGTCGAGGATTTTTGCTCAAAGTATCCAAAGATCATGCTCTATTTTAGGTGCTTTCATAACACTATACATTCTCCCTTACGTGCTCGTGTTAAAACCAGAATTTTACAATAAAAGCGACACGAAAGGGAGGCTGATCTCAAGTTAGTATGTAAGCGACCGCGCGCCCTCAAATACATAAACATAAGCTTTCAATCATATCCAAGGTCGCTTCATGAGCGCATATAATTTCACAAAATTCTCGCCAGTAAACAGCTCGTGAACAACCAGCTCTAGCTGCGACCACTTTTATGGGTTCCCGAGGTGGTCGCTTACGAGATTTTTTGACTGCATAAACTGTCACAGCGGAGCGGTTCTGACCGACCCATCAGGAAGTTGTGACGCCATTTCCATAGTACGCTTATCTTCTCTTTCAGCATGTTCATCCTGCAATGCACGAGCGAATGCGGAGTGCGTTATGAGTTACATATCTACAAGCTAAAACCCTTTTTGTAATATTTACCCTCTAAGACTGTCTTGTTTCCAACAGATCCATTACGAATGCTTTAGGAAGGGCTAAGGTTTTAGCACTGTTTAGACGAAATCTGCAGCCGGGCGAGGTTTTCGCGAGGTTACTTCCTTGATGGTGACGTAACTTTACAAGCAAAAAATCTGGGTTGTTCCTGGGGCGGAGGGCTAGGTGACGAGCCCTCCCCAGCTTAATCCCCAGCTCGGTATGAACGGGAAGGGACGGACATGAGCGCGGAAAACACGTTAGTCTCCTCAGCCGTTTTGAGCCGGATACTAGGGACGAATTATCCGTCATCATAAGGATAATTCATGCAAGTATAAATTCGGTGCTATTAGCTAAGACGAATTATGGAGCAAAATTCGTCTGAGGCTGATTTGTCTGTTAGCACGTCAACAGGCGGAAAATTCGTCTTAGACGAATGATCCGTATCTAAGTTTAGATCTTGACGGAACGTAGACAGTTTTTTGACGAAGTTTCCACATGCAATGTTTCCTGAGATGCCTATTTCATGTTGGCGTCCGGTAAAGCAGTTTTGAAGGCCGTCCTCCGACAATGTCTTGTTTCTTATATCATGTCTACTTCTTGTCTTCCTATCTTGAGTGAGATTCAGAAGAGGAAAGGGTAACATGAAGGTCATTAAGTTATCTTCTCTGTCAAGCATGCACTTGACAGAGGATATTCTTCTGACATACCGCCATGTCTAATGCTCTTCTTGATTTGTTCGTCAACAACGCTACCAGTGGCGCAATATTTTTTTAACCTCTAGCCAACCTCTAACTTTTTAACCTCTAACTCGGCTACTCAACTCCGAAACATCCGTCGTGTAGCCCGCGTAAAACATCTTGACAAATTATTCGTCAAAATCAGTCTTCGCATTTATGCTGAGACGAATTATCCGTCTAGACGAATAGTTCGTCTCTAGTATAAATTCGGCCAATCTCCCCACCCCCACGCCACTAGGAACATGAAGACTTCCTGTGAGTGTGGCTCCTACATTTTCTAAAAAACGGAAGAGGGTGCTCTCCTCATTTTGACTCGAGATGCAAAACATCGTTAACTGCGCTCAAATCAAAAGTCATCGCGAGTTAAAGACCTAAACAGGATCCCATAGGCTCCCGACCTAAAACAGCCGTTTGTGCCTTGGAGTAAGGTCGTGGGAGTCTCGAGCACTTTGTAGCTTGCTTCCTTGCCAAAAGTGATTTTGAAGTAAAAAAAAAAGGTCCGACCGTTTTGCTATCTTTTTACAGCTGCCTCAGTACTATTTATGTCCCCTCTAAGTGTGGGGTTATCACTCGTGAGTACTTGAGTCAGTCGGTCGTTGTCACTAATGTATAGATTTTTCCAGGGCTAAAAGCAAAGCTCTCGTTAATATACTTATAATTTACTCAAACAAAAAAATACAATCATGTAATGCTAAACAACGACGGCAACGATAACAGTAAAAAATCAGTAGGTCTTAAATTAGCAAAGAAAAAACAACTTTACACGTGTAGCACACTTGTTCAGTTACACATTTCTTGCACGACTACAACAAACGTGAAACTTCCTAGTTACACATCTTGTGTAAGAAATGTCGTATGTGCTCACCAAAGTTTTGTCGTTAGTGTTTCTGTTCGCTTTTTTCACTGCTGCTTATTATTATGGATAAAAGGCTATCTGGATGACAATAATGAGGGGAAGTGGAAATCTTTTGTTAATCACTACAATCTCTGTTGTAAATTGGATTTTTCAGCTAACTTAAAATATCAAGATACCCATCTACTCAATATTTCAGACCCTTTTTGAGCCGAAACTGTAGAATACTGGAGTACCTTAAATTATAGTGAAGACAGCTTAAATTTCCCCTCCTCCCAGATTTAGCTAAATTCGCTCATAAGAATTGATAATAAGCCGTTCTTTTATAAGTCATGGTTTCTTGAAGGAGTGAAAAAAGTTTAGGGTTTGCTTGACGATTCAAATTATAATTTCCTAAGCTACACTGCTTTCATTACCAAGAAGACGAAAAATGTGGAGTACTATAAAGTGGTGTCTGCCCTTAAACATTTCAGAAAAAAAAATGTTTCAACAATCAAAACTTCACTACCTTGGAAAAAGCCACCGACAACATGTTCTCTTCCGAGAAAGTTTGCAAAAAGATTTGTCAGTTTTTGATCAAAAGAAAGACTTCCTCACCAGTGAAAAGCCAGGGAATGGCTTGCTGAAGATTTGTTTTCAAATGTACAAGTCAAGACAGGGAAAATACCTATCATCTACCTTTTCTATGCACTACGGAACGAAGTTAAGGGTATTTCAATTTCAATTTCTGCATAGACTGACTATTACATGGCCGCGCGGAGATACGAAATTTCTCCTCTAGTGTAAATAATTTTCAACACGAGAAGAGAAATTTCGTATCTCCAAGTGGCCATGTAATGTTATATTTATTATATAAACACCAATGAAATACCAAACCATTTCACTTTAATAGTTTTTTGGTGTGAAAGGCGAGATATTTTCACATGTAAAGATAACATGTTATTTTCACACTTAAAGATATCAAGTTTTCGCGCAAAAGCTCACCTGGTATTTCATTGGTGTTTATATAATAAGAGTAGCTACAAACGACTTCCTTCTAAGAAAGGCAAAAAGGAAACAGACTCCTGTTCTTTTGCGCTGGTTCCCGGGAGACACTTTTTAGACCAATGTTTCGCAGTGGACCTACGAAGACCTTGATTTGACCAACTTGAACATTATCCCCTTTTTCACCAGCTCTTCGTCTCGGCTTAATTGACAACAATCTTTTCCTACACCAATTCCTCCTTATTGCTAGACACTAATTATGTAGTTGCAAACTACGAAATATCATTCCTATGGTACAAGTGTACACTCAGTTAGTCATACGCTCCATGGAAATTGAGAAGCAGATTGCCTTTGATAATAATAACTTAGCCTCGTTTAGGAAGAAATGGGCCACATTCAAGCAATACCCCTCAGAAAATAATTTGCCCTCTACAGTTAATCAAAGTGCAAGTTACAAACGGGCAGATGGGGGATGGAGGACCAGAAGGCAGGCAGCCTTCTCTGAATTATTATTATTATTCATTCAAAATATTTCCCCAATTCTGATTGGCTAAAAGCACACGTATAATTCACCATAACCAGTTACTGATGACCTTTTTTGAAGAATTTTGTGTTTAACGAGGAAATGACGTCAAAAATGCAGCCTTCTACAGGTTAATCCACCGTTAACCTAGAAGACCTGGGGACGAGATTGAGTTGTTTTCGTTGTGAAAACTCAAATGGCGGACACCTCACTCGTTTGAAGAGTAAGAACTACAGCTGGAACTGGGCGAAATAATGGCGAAAAACATAGCAAAAACAGCAAGAAGACAACTCGTACGGGCGACATCTTCTATTTGGAGAATATTTGGGGAGCTGGACAAACGTAAACTATCGAAGATAGACTTAACATCTATGCAGGTAAGCTTGTTTTGGCTATGTTTTTAAACTAGGAATTATTTTAAATGAATAATAAAACAATTATTGAATTTGGCTTTCGTATCATATGAAGAATTATAGAGGTCTCGGAGGGTGTTCACCCTCCTCGATCTCCATAATTCTTCATATGATATTCATTAATTGTTAAATATATAAACTATAGTACTGTTGTAGACTTTGTCTTTCTTTTTCTTTTTATTTCACTTGTTTTCCCTTCTGTAAACGATAACAGTTACCTATTTCAATGTAAGGTAAAATTATATTTAGTAACCACTAATTGAAATTTATTGTAATGAATTGTAAATATTATGTATAATATTGTGTGTCCGAAATAAAAATAAAATAAATAAAATAAAAAAGAATCAGTTATAATAGTTGAATTTACTTTCTCTTTGACATGATTTGTATGTCACTGGACATGATTTGTATATCAACAAGAGCGATCAGTTTTCATCCATCCATATCAATAAGAACAAATGGAATCACTCCTCACTATAACGGAAAACCTCGAACCGTGACTTCGTCGTAAAAATATGCGGCACCGAAGAAAGACGAAAAACTTAACCCTTTTTTATCAGATTATTTTAAGGTTTAAACTTCATATAAACTTTATATAGTATAAAATAATTATAATTTACTTTTTTACCGATATCACTTGTAATAATAATAATAATAATAATAATAATAATAATAATGATGATGATGATGATAAAAATATAAATAATAAGGGATACAGGCTATCTAAGGCTATATCAACTAAGATCACTCATCTCCTATACATCGACGACATGAAGTTGTTTGCTGCTTCTGAGAACAAGCTGACACGAGTCACGACAGTAGCAAACAATGGAATGGAAAGCACCGGTTTGAAGTGGAATGAGAAGAGGTGTGCAGTGATACACGTGAAGAGGGGACAAGTCGAGCAAGGAAGTGGAGATATGAAGATAGCTGATCTTAAACCTATCAAGAGCCTGGACAGACACAACACCTATAAGCTCCTAGGCGTCTCCGAAAACACCAAGCAAGAGGATAAGCAAGTACTGGAAGCCGCAGCAAAGACATACTTGCAGAGACTATCAATCATCTGGTCCAGCCCATTGTCAGATCATGCAAAGGTAGTGGCGTCCAATGAGTACGCTTTACCAATACTTACATACTCCATGTGGACACAAACTTGGCGGATAGGAAACATCCAACAGCTTGACCTAGAGGGAACACAGATCATCGTGGAGAATGGAGGAAATCACCCCCAAGGGATTGACAGTGATACTCTACATGTCTAGGGAGCTCGTTGGAAGAGGTCTCAAGTCCAGCGGCTCACCTATACCCAAATATTAATCAATTACCCCCGTCTAGAGCTCGCTTTCTCGAATTTGAAGACGATACCCAATCAGACTATTCTGAGCTGGTCTGCTTTGTTGAACAAGGTTTTGGGATACTATTCCAGAAGCAGACCTCGAAAGACCTCATATAAGGAGTGAATTCATGTATATATAAGTCGGATACAATATTCCAACTAAATTATTTACAAGATCAAATGTGGTAAAGGCAAGGAAGCCTGTATAGAAGCAAGGGGGCTTATAAACTATAGGCTTCCTGGAACTATAAGGTAAACCATACAAGTTTAGGGTACTGAATGAAAATTTCGATTAATTTTTTAAAGAAAAAAAAGAAGAAGAAAGAAAGAAGAGAAAAAAGAAAAAGAAAAGGTGTGTAGCTCAACAAAGATTCAATTTAACTAAGAAAGAAGGAATTTTTTAAGTCTTTTGCCAAACAAACTGATACTTTCACTGTTTTGAATTTCCCGACTTAGCGAGTTGAAAAACGTAGGACCTTGAAACCGAATTGAGAATTTTCGAAAATTAGTTCGAGAATGAGGTATATAGAAAAGGCTGGAATTTCTTGTATTATAAGAATGTACCTGGCTTGCACGAGTAAACATATCACGAAAATAATTTGGAAGTAAGCCTCTTTTAAAAAGATAGGTAAATTTACCTATTTGGTATAAATAAATGTCCGAGAATTTCAAAATCTCCTGCTCTTTAAAAAGAACACCGGTATGAGCATCAAAAGAAACTTTAGATATTATTCTGATTATCTTCTTTTGCAGCATAATAATCCCATTTAAATTAGACTGATATGTCGATCCCCACACTGAAACACAATAAGTCATGTAAGGGTAAACTAGACTATGGTACTAAAAGGGAGCGCAAGGAAGTTTTGGGAAGGCAAAAACTAGACTCAATACCTATTGATTTTGATATTTTTCTAGGAACGCTAAGAATGTGAGGCTTCCATGACAAATGCTCATGGAGGATAACACCTAAAAATACTGTTTCTTTCACACGTTCAATGACATTGTTGTCAATTTGAATAGATATATCAAGTGTTTGCCTCCTTTGGCGTGGTCTAAGAACCATAAAATGTGATTTTTTTAAAGTTAATGGACAGTTTATTTGCTCGACACCGCTGGGTTAATTTAAGCATTTCAGAATTCAAGATTTCAGGAAGCAATTTAAAATCTTTGTGGGAGAAAAATGTGTTTGTGTCATCAGCAAAAAGGATAAAGTCCACGACTTTTGACACGTTACACAGATCATTTATATAGAGTAGAAAGAGCAGGGGGCCTAGTATAGAGCCCTGAGGCAGAGCAAAATATTTATGCGGCAAACATGTGTACCCCGCACTTTATTTCGCAAGACTCTGAACTGATACCATTAAATTCCACATATTGTTGTCTATTGCTTAGATAGCTTTTGAACCATCTAAGTGCAGTGCCACGAACACCATAATGCTCTAATTTTGAAATTAAAATGTTATGATCAACGGTGTCAAAGGCTTTAGACAAGTCTATAAAAATACCAACTGTGCATTCCTTATTTTCAATAACGGAAGAGATTTTGTCATATAAACAAGCAAAAGCATAAGCAGTGGAGTGATGCTTGCGAAAACCATACTGATTGTCAGAGAGAATGTTATGATTATTAAGAAACCTTAAAAGACGATTGTATATTACTCTCTCTAGGATTTTAGAGAATGCTGGTAAAACAGACACTGGTCGGTAGTTCGTAAATATATCCTGCTCACCACATTTAAATGAAGGAATAACTCGAGCAATTTTTAATTGTTTTCGTACAATGCCAGAGGTGATGGATAAGTTAATCATGCATGTAATGGGTGAAATAATTATATCAATAGATTCTTTAATTAAGTTCATAGAAATGTTGTCATAACCTACAGCAGTACCTGAACGACAAGTACTGCATATTTCAATGATTTCTTGCTCATTTATAGCATCTAGAAATATTGAATTGACTAGTTTTGGGGGTAAAAAAGAATAATGCAACTTTTCTGATACAGGAATTTTGCTAGCTAAATTGGGGCCAATATTAGTAAAATATTTGCAAAAGAAATTAGCTATTTCCTTTGGATTGGAAATTTCTCGAGAATCTGCCTTAAACAATAGATGGCAAACCACGCTTTCCTTTATTTCTATTAAGGATTTCATTTAGAACTTTCCAAGTGGTCTTGACATTTGATTTTAGTTTTTCAATTTGTTTCTCATAATAGAAACGCTTAGCAACTCGAAGAGAATGAGTAAGTTTGTTTTTGTACGACTTATATGCACTTTCATTGGAAGAGTTAGGGTTATTAAGGAAAGACTGATATGACATATTTTTCTTCCTTATGGATTTAGCAAGACCTTTAGTAAACGAAGGCTTACGAAGATTGAACCGTTTCGCTTTCATTTTTCTGAGTGGAAAACATTTATCGTAAATTGTAGTACACTTTCCGACAAAGAGTTCATACGCGCAAGAAGGATCATTTAAACCAGGCATTTCAGCCCAGTTTATCTTACCTAACTCATCTTTAAATGCACTTAGATTATGCGCATTTTTTTCACGAAAAAATACGTATTTATCCTTATCACTAGTACTATTATTATACAAAATAAGTGAAAATATCGGTAAATGGTAAGATATGTCATTGAGAAAAAGACCGCTTATTGAGGGACGAAGTGGATCGTTCGTGAAAATGTTATCTATTAACGAAGCTTTGTTCGCGTTAATTCTAGTAGGAAGTGTTATTAGTGGAAAAAAACATCCTAGAGTACAACAAATCAAAGAAATCACTTGTCGCTTTATGACAATGGTGGTTAATTAGAGGTAACATATCCATTAAGTGGTTCTTCGTCTACCTCATTCCAAGTCGAATTGGATTTTGGAAATGATGGTTTTGAGGAGAAGGGGAAACCGGAGTACCAGGAGAAAGAACTCTCGGAGGAAGGGAGAGAACAAACAACAAACTTTACACCCATATGACGTCGACGGCGGGATTTGAACCCGGGTAATATTGGTGGGAGGCGAGCTCTCACCACCGCGCCATCTTGGCCCCCCTTCTTTCTCTTAATATCACGAGCGCCGTTCCACACATGGCGTAAAATTTATGAAAATGCATCAGTTTGCTTTTGTCCAAAAATGCCCCGCACTAACGACCTCTGCCTTACCCCTCCCTTCCCCCTATACGTCCAGTTGACTTTAAGCGGGGGGAAAGTGAATATGTTGACATCCTCTTAGCTTCACCCTCAAGATATGGATATTTAACAATTATTCCTCGAGCCCGAATGGGGCTATTGACTCAAAGGCCATGAGTGCGAGAGGAATAATTGTTTTAGCAAAATCCAACTAGTTGGTCAAAAATATCGAGAATAAAAAAACTTCTAGCTAGTTAAAGCTAGACTTTAATCCTTTTTTGCCGCCAAGACCTCCGCGCCTTTCGTTACTAGTGGGCTATAACATGTAGCCTAGTAGAAGCTCAACCAATCAGAACGCAGCATTGATAATAGACCACTAGTTGGATTTTTCTAAACTTGTTGCGGTCGTTACTTAAACTAACTTCCAAACAATTGAGTCTACATCATATTGATTTCCGCCTATATTGGTTCCTCCTTTATCAGTTTAAATCGGGAAAGAGATGTTGACAACAACATTTGTACTCGAGAAAAAATAAAGACGCTGTGCTGTTATGGCCATGACCTGCCAGAAACTATGAAGATGTATTAAATGAATGTTGGTGAGAACTGTAACTACTTCCTTGCCTAGTATCGGACACACTCCTTTCTATGCATCCTTTAAACGAAAAGCAACGTAAATCAGTAGAAGAAATAACATTTTTTTTTTCCAAGCTTGCGAGCGGGGGGAATCTTTGGCAGCTTCATTCGCAAGTTTGTTTGTTGTTTGTGAATGAGCAAAAACTGTCATTTTCAAACCATTTTTCTCTGAGACAAAAAACAAAAAAGACAAAAAGACAAAAGACAAAAAATCTGAAGGAAGAATCAAGCAAGTCAGCGAGGAAAACCGCTAACGTAAAGCAAAACTGGTGGCTCGTGATGTCACTTCACTAGCTTTATAACCGCGCTGTGTAAAGTACTGCAATCTTGCTTTTATGCACCGTTTATTGGACATTTTTGCTCTGTTTGTAAATTTGTTTTTCATTTTTGCTGTATGAATCTAGATTCTGCTACTTTTTTATTGAATTTTGCCTCGCTAGTTTTCTACTTATCAGAAAAGGTTGTTGTCAATGATTGTATTCAACTTTCGATCTTAAATAAACAACACGAATCTCTTTTCCAGCAGTTGGCTATCGCCGTTTTCATTTCTTTGTTCATATTTTGTTACTCACATCGCCTTAAGCTTCTTTTATTCGAATTCAATTCAAAACCTTAAAATTGGTATGTGTAATTAGCTCTTTTTACAACGTCTTTGTGCAGTTTTCATCCCACTCGCAATTTTTGAATTATTCAGCCGAAGAATATCCTTGCTGTATTTTTTCTGGCGCTTATAATATCAAGCTCGTCAATTCTTTTATCCTTGTTTGACACTCAGATTATGAATTGTCTTGCAAGACACAAAAACCTTTCTTTAGTCTAAAAGAGAGCAGTAAGAGCCATAATATAAATTACCGGGCTAAAAATTATGTTGTAATGTTTTGTTTTGGTTTGCAATCGATTGCGTCGATCGCGTCGAACGCGTCCTACTTCAACACCCATAGGTTGGAGAGTGAAGGAAGATTTTCCTGAAACTTTTAAATCTCAGTTGGAAAAAAATAAGAATGTTATTCACCGGCCTAGGTCGGTCCGTATTAGAAGAAACTGTGCCCTCGGTCTGAGTACCTCGGGCACAGTTTCTCCCAATACGGACCTCCCAGACGATGAATAACATTATATTTATTTCACTAAATTGCAAAAAAAAACTAAATAAAAGAACCATAACTACCCGAGGATCACACTCATTATAAAAATTTGTTCTATAGCCTTACCACAAATCGGATTCAAAATTAACAAAGTTTTAACAAAAGCTACTTTAGAAGAAAATCAATGTCCATTCAAAACATGTTACTTTAGCTTTCGACAATGTTTGGGTTCTTTGCGTTGAAACCTAACGAGCAAAAGCGACAAAAGCGCATGCCAAAAGCATGATGGCGCTGACTATTGGTACTTTGGCTCCATTGTCGGCTTCATTGTCGTCTCCATTGCACAGGTCACCTTCACAGCAGTTGACTTCGCATTTGGTGATTTTCGTTGAGGGGTCGGTCGGTCTGCAGTTCAATTGGCCCAGCCTGCATAGTGATGAAGTGGCGCATCCTTTGGCAAAGAGTTTAACTGTCTTTTGCGGGCTCTCAGATTTTCCTTCTTGTGTGACACAACGATCAAAGTCGTCCATACAGGTTGTCTCTTTTGTCGTGTTTTTGCAGTCATCCCAGCTTTCCGCAGAAAAACAAAGCTTGCATTTCAGGGAATAAGCTTGAAAATATAAACAAATATTAAAAAAAAAACTAGCAAGGAGTCTCATTCTTAGCCTGACAAAATAGCCGATATTTTGCGACTCCACCTCTGGTTTAATTCCCCGCAAAATGACGTCGGAACCAGTGGTGGCGTCGCGGAATGTCGGCTTTGTTCTCAGGCTACCTGATCCTTCAAGGGCTGACACACCGAACCTATCGGTATAAAAGTATTTTTGCTTTAATTTTTTGGCGTGAGAAGAAAGGAATCGCGCGGTTACAAATTGTTATGACGATGAAACGAAGCTTAGAGCGCAACCTCTACGTTGGAGATCTGGTTCGCCGCGCTAGATTTAAAAAGAATTATCAGCAAGCAGTGTAGTGACTTGTGCTAATCTGTGATTCTCGGAGACTTGGACCAAACATGCCGATCTTATTTTTCATCTATGAAAGTGTCCTTACTATATGCCTGGTGCCGCGGACACTGAGGCAATATCAGTGCAAGATGAAGCTTATCCTGTGTTCTAGATGCCTACCCGAGTAAGCAAGATAAGCCTATCTTGCCCGCCCGCTCGGGATTTTCCGCTATGTCACCGCAGTTAAACATCTTCTTTGGCCACATATTAAATCCTTTCTTGATTAAGCTTGTTCGGTCAAGACATCCTGGATATTTGCCCCATGCGGCTTTATTGCATTTTAATCCAGGCATAAAAACGCAAAAACATAACTTGCCCAAAATCCAGCCATCTTGTTCAAACAAGCTTGCATGGTCAGTAAAGACTGGTTTTCGCGGAAGCGTAGAGCGTGATGATCTAGTAAAAACAGCGTTCTTATTTCACTTACGAACGTTGCTCACGATCTAGTGAAAACAAGCCAGAGGGTTGTCGGAGTCGCAAGCACTAGTAGAAGAACGAAACCAGTTACAAAGCGTGGAAACGAGCGTTGTGATTGGTTTATCCTTCTGCTTCTGCTTCCGACTCCAAAAATCTGGTTTTCTGTAGGTCGCAAGCGACGGAGTCATAAGCGGAGTGGGAACAATGGAAATGCTTTGATTCTTCCGACTCCGATTCCTTCACTCTTACGACTTCGCTTACAACTCCTACTACTACTCCTACTCCTTGGTGAAGAAAATTACTGGAAAGAATAAAAGCGCGAATCAATACCGTGTGCTAAATTATTCCTAACAGAAACGTTATGTTGTTCGCACCCAAATGGGAGAAACTGAAAGCCACCCAGATCTGTCAGGTCCAATAATGTACTTTCTTATTAGACTTCAATTTACCGAACCAAATCGTAACGCGAGAAGAAGAAAAAAAGTTGGTGATGTTTATGGTTAAAATGTAATTAAAATTGCGCGCCCACCACTATATTCAGAGAGAGAAGATAAAGCACGCTAACAGAGGAAGCCGCGAGTATTTCGGGACAAGATTCCTGCAGCATTGTCCTTAATTTAATGGGAAGAACTGAAGAGATAGAAACGGACTAAAGCCGTGACTTACCAACTGAAATGCAAAGAAGAAAAGCGAGACCGAACAGGATCTTCATGTTGTTAGCGACAACACAATTCTGAACACCTTAAGAACGCAGTCTGTTATAGAAAGTACGCTTCAAAGTGCCCGTTTTACTAAACTTCAGAGGATGTCATTCATTACCTACTTTTAAGTACTTGTCAATCCATTGAATTTAACTAAATGATCACCAATAGAAAGTCAGGTTTTTATTTTACTGTCACTTTTATTGATTAGCATTTGCCAATCACAATTACTTGTTAGCGTCGGTTAGGGACGGACCATTTGAAATAACCGGAGGTGGGGTGACAATTCCCAAAAAAGATTCCTGCAAGGGAAACTTGTCTAAAAATAATTCCTGCGAGCGGTGATACGTAAAAAAGAATTCTTTCAGAGGAAGCGACATGCATGGCATTTAAGGCTATTAAAAGCATGGGATAAGGGGGGAAAAGGTAACGTAAAACAACGCCTTAAGATAAATAGAATTGAAATTCTTAATTTGTGTTCAGTACCTTTATTTGAAAACAGCTGTTTGATATTTCTTCATACAACAACACATAAATAGTAATGGCTTGCTTTCTACACAGTCATCATTACCACTGATATTGCTATCACAAACAATTTTACTATAATATAAAATCAGATATAAAATGTATTTCAAAATATTTTGATAGAACATTAACCAATATAAGAAATATAACATTTTCTCAACTGTATTAAAAATGGCAATTTTGTTTTAATATGAAACACTAACAACCATCAAAACAATAAGATGTATTGAATGCATTGAAGTGCCTCTGTTTCTTAATATTTGAATAATAGAAATCTATATCAAGACTCAATTGTGTAATGGAAATTCCCGACAATAAATATCTGACAGAGTAATTTTGGTTTTAATTTAATGCCAACATCCAGGCCAACATCTAAATTAAACCGACCGCACTGGGGGCAAGGAGCACAATAAATATCAAAGTTAATATCAAGTGTTTTGCGTCATCGATCATCGAACAACTTGAGTGAAACAACATTTGCTTTATGGCTTGATTGTTTTAAGGAGTAACTGGCTTACTGTTGAAACAGGACCAAACAGCGTCTACGTGTATTGTGTCTCAATATTTATTAAAGGCTAAAAGGAATTTTAGGACAGCTGGTGTCGCAGTGCGCGGTACGTGTTGAAAAGTGACTAGGATCGGTTCCCAGATCGGTTGCCTATAAAAGTGTTCGGTATCCGGAACGGATGCGCCTTTGAGCGCCAAGTTTCGGTCATCTGTATTAGCTTTTCTGTGATCTACTTCTGGCTAAGAGTTTTACTGACTTCAATGTGAAAGTAAGTTCTGGTATGAAACGAGAGTGTAGTAATCTTGGGGGGGTACTCCTTATAATGGCCCATACGGGGAGCTTCCGCCCGAAAGGGGTACCTTTTTCAGGGTAGGGATTTCACTAGTTGAAGTGTACGAAAGGGTAGGGAATCTGTCATTAGGGTATTTGGTATTTGAAAGGGCCCAAAGGGCTAACAGATGAATTTTATGGCTTTATAAAGTCAAGAACAACGTTCTATTTTTGTGATTGATTCCTATTTAAACGACAGTACATGTACAGCGGATAAAAGGGATGCAAAGCTGTAAACAAGGTATGTGAAGGGGTAGACTTGCCTACAAGTCGAGCTCAAAATTTTCACGAGCACGAAGCACGAGCGGTAGATTTAAATGTTCTTATGTTTTCTGCGGCAAAAGCGAGCGAGAGAGCGAGAGCTCGACCTTCGCGCTGGGGCCAACTACCGGAACCGGAAATGAGAAGCGAAGGGCTTTGAGAAAGTCTAGTGAAAGGGGCCCCATTTGTCAAGAGAAGGTATACGAAAGGGGAACCTTTTTCGTAAAAAACTGTATATGAAGGAATAAAGGAGTTGGACCTCGGGGCGGAGCCTCCCCGTATAAAAATTTCTCGAGTACTCCCCCGCCCCTCCCGGGTTGAACTACGTACAAAAGACCCTGACTCATCGACTACATTCAATTTTTTATTACTAAAAAGGCCAGACATTTCAGTCATTTTTTCCTTAAGATCTGACATTTATTGGCTTCATCACTAAAACGTTTGCGCTGATATTGATGGTGTAGGCATCCATCCCTTGACTACCCTTTCAGGCAACTGTGTTTGTGGTCAAGCACCTGGAAAATGATTCGTCGTGTTGGAAAGATCAAATATGCACACTCCGCACGAAGTTTCATTCCGTCGAATATATCACAGATAGTCTATAATTATTAGTTATATATACGCAGAAAGAAATGAAATTACAACTGATAAAATAACCGTTGTTAGACACAAAAAGAAATGGTATGAACTTGATTTATCATGAAAGAAGGCAATCAAGTTCTGACGAGTGACTTACAAAATAATCAATTGCTCCATTCTTGATATGGAGAAGTAATTATTTAAATCAAAAGCAACAGTTAGAAAGGTTTTGTAGAGCAAAACTTACATCGACCTTTATTATTCCGGATATCACAAGAACCTCATCTAATAATTGCTTAATATTTTCACTTTCCAATAGTGGTTTGAAAATAAGTTATATCGTTTGAGAATGAACGTTCTCTCTTGTGCTCTCGGGTTCGGACGAATGCACAGATAGCAAAGGACTGAAATGATTTTCAAAAAATGGTAAACGTATTCAAACGAAAGTCATCGTCGCCATTCGCCACAACTGATGCAGAACTGTGCATGCGCGCGGATTTATCGGCGGACAAGAAATCTGTGGAAATCAGGGCTAAACCTTCGGGCCAACGGGTCGTTGTGTCTTAACCTCGACTCTATGCACATGCTACAAATACACGCGCCTGCGATATTTTCGGCCATCGTTTTAATTTGGATGCGCTTTCGACCGTCGACACTAATACGATATGGATGCGTTTTCGTTTTGATCCACTTTCAAGAGCGTGTTCAAATTAAAATCGATGCGTTTTCGATGAAACGCTCAGCGTATTAGTGTGGACTGAAGGCGTAAAGGCATCGAAATGTATGCGTTTTCAAACGAAAACGCATTACTGTGGACGGGGCCTATAATTCTCTTATTGTAATCGCAGGTGTCGGTTACGAAGAAGTGCAGAAGTAAAACTTCATTTGAATAACTTGTAGGAAAACTATTGTCCAGGAATAATGTTCAGAAGCAATTAGGAAAGCAAGATAATGGAAAACTTACGAAAGATATATAACGAGGTGTCCGTACGATAGGGGTGTCCGGAAAGAGGGGTTCTACTGTAAAAGTAGGTAAAAAGGTTTATGTGTGTATTGAAATGGTGACAAGTGAAATTAGGGAATAATTTCACATGCGTTTTGTTCAAATCCTTATAATTTTGCCAGACTTTAGGTGAGGGAAATTATTCCCTTATTTCACGAGTACACCATTTAATATCACGGGTGACTTATTACGTTCGCATTCGTGGATTTTTGACACGTTTATCCTGGTTGATCGTATCAATCAACTCCACGCTCTCAAGAGGTTAGAGCTTAATTAAATTTGGCTTAATATAAAAATTTTCAGAATTTTTTGACAAAATACCTGTAACTTTGGCCCGGTTCAGACGCCGACCTTTTCATGAGCCGAACCTAATTCAAATTCAGGCCGACCTAAATTATTAAAACTGGCTGAATTGATTCAGACGCCGATCTTAATAATTTCAGCTGAACTAATTTCAAAAGGAGAAAAATGCTCATTTCGGTCAAACTTCTTACAAAATACGTTATAATAATTTAATATGCATTAAGTTCGGTACATGAAAAGTTCGGCGTCTGAATCAAAGCCGTTCCAAAGGCGAAATTCCCGGCCGGGCTAGGCGAACAGAACGGCTGAGCCGTTCCAAATTGAAACAGGCGGTCCGTTCTAGTACCTAATTCAATGTACTAGGTTCGGCGCATGAAATATTCGGCGTCTGAACCGGACCTTAGAAAGAATCCTTCTTGATCCGGTCTTTCGAGCGTTTAGGTTTTCCGAAGCGTCTTTTTACAGCTGTTTCGGCTTTGTGATATGTGATTGGTGGATTTCGATCCTTTTTGTGTGTTTCTGTGTTTCAAGATTCGTTGCTTTTGAACTTCAGAGTTGGCGTGTTTTCACGTTTTAGCTCTCAAGTTTTTTTTACCTTCTTTCTGAAACATTGCAAGTTCAGATTATGAAACTATAAAATTGTTCTCAACATTGAAATACAAATATGAACTTTGTTAATGCAACCGAGAGGACCGTTTCACGGTACACAGACAAACTGATAACGTTAAAGCTTGTAGTTTTTTTACTTTCGTTCTGTTCCGTTCCAGTTATTCCAGTCGCATAAGCGTTTTATAGATGTTTTTGAAATACATTCTCCGTTTATTGTGACGCACAATAAATGTATTGTAAATGTAACTCTAAATGTAATGGTATGTGTAAAAAGAACTTAATACATCTATAGATTTCTAGTTCAACAAGCTAAATCTGTCGTAAATTATTTCCCTATATTGTTGATTAATAATTTCCTGTATAGCCTAGTTTTTTTTCTCTCTGTCTCTCTCATTTCCTGCCTAATTTTTCAACTATTACTAGAATTTTTTTTATTCTTAGAACTATATATTAATTTGAATCAATAATTACATGCAGATACCCCAAATAGATTTGATATTGTTGATTTATAATTATACCTCTTAGCCTTATTACTTGTGCTTAGCTTATTCATGTAATCTATGTAGACCTAAATAACTTTGAATTTGTTTGTAAATGGGTAGCCTGAATGTAATAAGCCCCATGGCTTTCTATCAGGGATGCCCTTCCACTTTTGTTGGTAATCTGATCAATAAATTGTTGTTGTTGTTGTTGTTGTTGTTATGTTTGCTTTAATTCGTCTCTTAGTTACGTTTTATCTCGTCGTTCCAAAACTTTTTTTATTCCGTTTATATGACCCCCCGGAAACAAGCCCCCCCCCCCGTTTATAAGCCTACCCAAACCCTTTATGAAGTTATATAAGCCCATGACTTTAACGTGGGATTTAACGGTACAAGTCCTTGCCCAATCTGGTC